TTTTTTTTTTTTTTTTTTTGGTACCGGGGATTGAACTTGGGTCCTTGCGCTTGCAAGGCAGGCCACTGAACCGCTGAGCTAAATCCCCACCCCAACAGATAGTGTTAGAATGTCAGGAGAAATCAAAGATGAAAGCTATGTTTCTTCCACTGGGCCCTGCCTGGATTGCCAATGTGTGGAAAAAATAAAAAATCTGTTTAATAAACGCTTATTACCATGACATTAGTCAAGGGAAAGGCTATTCCAAATTGGGCCTTAATCTTTAATTAAGTTTTGGGCGAATGGTGCCTAAAACTTCAGGTTAGTTTATAGGTGTCACATTTGTGTTTCTTTGAATTCTTAAAATAATATCTGGGGGATATTTGGTCGAAGAATCCAATCTGCTGAACAGCCTGACAAACACCATCTGAGATCTCCCCTAGTTTAAGCATCTATCACAACAAGCAGGCTACGCAGCATGATATCAGCTCTCTGGGTCCAACACCTCTTCTCATACAGACTGACAGCCTGATGCAGGACGGAGTGAAATACTCCGCTTGTCAGTCATCAGCGGACGAACGAGAAAACAGCCTTTCTAGTATTTTGACCCATAGATGATCACAACTTTTTGTTTGTTTGTTTGTTTTTTGAAACAGGGTCTCATTATGTAGTTGAGACTGACCTAGAACTCACTGTGTAGCCCAGGCTGGTCTCAAACTCACAGGGATCCTCCTGCCTCAGCCTCCCAAGTGCTGGGTACAAGCGTGTACTCACTGTGTAGCCCAGGCTGGTCTCAAACTCACAGGGATCCTCCTGCCTCAGCCTCCCAAGTGCTGGGATTACAAGCGTGCGCCACCACGCCCAGCAGATGATCATAATTTTATTTTAGCCAGTGCAGGATCCTTGGAAAGCTCAAAGTCAGGACCACCTTGTGCTGTGAGCTGAAAGGAAATGTTCCTACCTCCCTGCCTTAGCTTGTGCCTGCTTCATGTGGGCACTGTGCTTTCAGAAAATGGAAAGCAACTCCCCAAGTACCAAAGCTCGGTATTTATTAGCTGCCACCTCAGAGTGGTTTGCAGAGGGAAGCACTGACCATCATGAAGCAGAAACAAGGAGTCAGTAACTGTGTTGGTGGCCAGGGACAAAGACATTTCAGAAGTGTGAGAGCCACACAATTACCGGGGAAACTGTGACAGGAAAGAATGGAAGGCAATATCAGGTGCACAGATAAAGCTGCACATCCTGACACTGTGACATCTCTTGTCCCAGCGAATGGGTTGGCATCTTCTGTTCCCTGTAACAGTCCCGACTTCAAGTGCTAGTGATGACCACAGCTAACCTGCACGGTGCTTATGACCTGCCAGACACTGTTCGACACGCTACGCGCACTAACGTGTTTAATTCTCAGGACAGCGTCATAAGGTGGATACTACTGTCCTGTCCTCCTCGAGGAGAAACCAAGGCACAGAGAGGCTAAGTGACTTAGAAAGTTCTCTCAGCTACGGAAACAGATCTAAGGCAGATAGATTCCTGGGAGCTGTCTGTGCACCGCACCCTTCAGGGTCTGCAGTCTCTCAGGCTCTGTGTCTACATCTAGGTTTGGAGGCTGTGACTGGCACTTCCCTTGCAGCAGGTACGGAACATCACATTACCCTCGGCTGGGTCCCCCCTCTGCACGTTAGTAGTTAGCAGCCCTGCGTGTGTTGCATGGGGCCGAGCTCCGGCTAACAGGAAAAGGAATGGCGAGCAAGGCCTGAACCCCGAGCTGAGAGGGGGCAGGGAGGAGCTGAAATGGGTGCCCAGCGATTAGTCAGAGAAGCTGAGGATTAACAGACTTAAGACCAGAAGCAGGAAACAATGCAGCCGGTTGAAGAGGTGGGGTGAGAGGGTGCAGTGCGTGGGAATGAGGAGAGCGGCTCTGTCCGGCAGAGTTGCTGTGGGGAGCACGGCTGAGAAAGCATCTGAGGATCAATCCCCTCAGAGACAAGTAAACAAAAGAAAGCCCCACCCAAACAGCAACAGCAGCCAGAAAACGAAACCAAAATGGGTAGGGAGGAGACACAGGTTAAAGTTCTTCTGTACTTTTCCTCATCTGTGATTCTGAACCCAGGAAACCAGAAGAGGGAAGGCCTGGGCTGGGATGAGCTCAGTTCTGTAAAGAGACAATGCAGCCTGCAATCTGCCTACCTGGGCAAAGTTTGCGCCACCCTCAAGTGTGGGCAGAGATGTGGAGAAACAGGAACTGAGCACAGCGGGCAGGAGGGGTATTACTGCAATCCAGCACCTTAAAACATCCCCTGGGCTTTTGATCTTAATGATCATGTCTTGCATTTCTAGAAATGCCTATCCCTTTTAAACACATAATGTCTTGGGGTATTTTTTTAACTTGGTTGTTTATTCCTTCTTCTGTGTCTTTATTTTGAGCCTGTTATTAATGACGTGGTAGCTCTCGTCTCAAGTTTGTGTAGCCCTGATCTTGCTGCTTGCTGAAACTGCTGACTTCTATTCATGACGACAGTCATGGGCCCTGAGTCAGCCCTGGCACACAGAGGATGGCTCACCCTGGTGAATTTAACCCCAAGTCTTCTGATTCCATCACTGAGCTCCTGTCAAGTGCTCTAATCTCCCACACTTTTCCACTGCCACCATGACCTAGGATTTGGAAGAAGTGGGGACAGGGAGGTGATGGGTGAGGGAGGCCCTGAGAGTTACACAAGGAAGAAACAAGACCTGAGCCCAGGTCTCAGCCAGCAGCAGGCCAAGGCAGGCATAGGGGAGGAACCAAATAGGCTGGTGATGGAGCGGAGTAGAAGAGGTCAAAGTGAAGGTTGGGGGGCCTGGGGATGTGTCTACGTGGCAGGGTATTTGCCCTGCATGCTCTGTTCCATTCCCAGCAATGCAGAGAGAAAAGAAAAAGTAGAAGGAGAAATATCAGAGTCAGCTCCGGTTTCATAAGTGTCAGAATGACACTTGGGCCTTGGTCACTGCAAGATTTTTAAAAATCACACCCAATGTATGGATATAACCCCCCCAGAAGCATTATATAGTCCCCTCCTTGGGGCCCACGCCTTTGTATCTGTGTTTTAGAACATCTCCACTTTCAGCTATGGATTTGGATTTTCATGTCCTCTTCAATTTTGTTGTTGTTCACATTTTCTGGCCCTTGGGAGTTTCCTTGCTTTCTTGAGATTTCATTATGCATTTAAAAAGTTGCTTCTTATATTTCATGAAGTATTTCTAGGTGTTACACATTGGGATAATTTTCAGGTTCCCAAGTATATCAGATTACTGAAACAAGAAAATTTTCTATACAGTTACTCTAGAGACAATTTGAAAATATTTAGTAAACTGAAGGTATTGTTACTCCACAGTTCCCACAAGCTACTTCTAGATTATTTATGAATGCACAAAAAAGAGATGTGACTGAGAATGTTGATTATAGCATCGTTTGTAAAACTGGAGGGAGGAAAAATGGAAGCAATCTAAATTCCTATGAAAGGAGGAAAGAAAAATGTAGCTTCATGGAACACAGAATGAGGCACCACAAAGTAAGTAAAAGTAATTAATGAACTAGAAGTAGAACAAAAAATAGCCAGTTGAAGATTATTATGCACAGACTGGGTGTGGTGCTCTACTCTTGTAGTCCTAGATACTTAGGAGTCTGAGGCAGCAGGATTGCTTGAGCCCAGGAGTTCCAGGCCAGACCAATCACATGGCAAGACCCTGTCTCAAAAAAGAGAAAGGGAGAAGGAAAAGATTATTATACACAGAATAATTATACTTAAAGTTTTCAAAAATATAAAACTATGCTATATACTGATTAGGGGCTAGGCATATTTATGTCATTGTAATAAAATACCTCAGAAAACAACTTACAAGAAGAGATTTATTTTGGCGCACAGTTTCAGTCAATGCTCAACTTTGGGCCTGTGGTGAGCCAGAACCTCATAGCAGAGCACATGGCTCACCTCATGGCAGACAGCGCATGGAGGGTCCCAGTAGCCCCTTCAAGAACACGCCCACCAGTGACCTCACTTCCGCCTTAGGCCCCACCCCTTTAGGTTTGCACCACTTCCCAGTAGTACCACAGGGAAGGAGCCTTTGGGGGACATTTACAATCTAAACTATAATGATGTCTATAGTATGGTCCAGAGTACAGCAAACTGGGCCAGGGATTTGGCTCAGTGGTTCTGCTGCCTGCCTCGAAAGTGCAAGGGCCTGAGTTCAGTCCCTGGTACCAAAAAAAAACCAAAAAAAAAAACCCAGGTACAGCAAACTAAGACCCATGGGCCAAACCCAGCCAGCTATTTTTTTCTTTTCTAGCCCTGGGATTACAAATGGTCTTTACATTTGTAAGTGTTTAGATTTTTTTAAATGATTATATAAATAAGTACATACATAATAGCCTGTTATTTTGTCTCTTGGCCCATAAAATCTAAAATATTTCCAGGTATGGTGACATATGCCTATAATCCTAGCACTTGGGAGGCTAAGGCAGGAAGATTTCTGTGAGTTCAAGACTAGCCTGGGATACACAACTAGAGACTGTCTCAAGGAAAAAAAAAAAAGGTGGGGGGGAAATGAAAGGAAGAAAAAAAACCTAATATGTTTACTCTCTGTCCCTTTAAGAAAGAGTTTTCTGACCTTGCTGTAGTCAATATGGAAAAAATTAAGATGAATAGGTGGGGGGTATTTGTTAATCGTGACCATATTCTTTTTTCTTTGGTGGAGATGCATTCGTAATGAAAAATAACAAGAGCCTCCTGTTGTTGCTTCTGTCCCTCTGGAGCCCCTCTGGTTCCCCTCCGTCTCCCTTTCCATCCCATCTGAAGTATCTTCACCTCTCCCACTCCTGGCCCTGCTGTCTGGCCCCTCCGTCTGGGTCCCACCAGGCGCCTGACAGCCACACCCAGAGCCTCCGTTCCTGTGCTTACTGTATCTGTGGATTGATGAGAACAACTTGGTTACTGAAACCCGCCTCTTCCCCTGCCCGCCGATGTCATTGTCGTTGTGGTCTCTCCTCTGATTCTCCCTGCTCCTCCCCAGTTCTGGGCTGTGACCCTTTCTCTGTGGTCAGCGCATTTCATATATATTAATGTCTGTCTGTTCTCCTTCGGGCCTCAACCATTCCCACCTGGAGGTTTGGATTTCAGAATAATCCCCTCCAGCCGGGCCTCTCCAAGGCTGCTCCCCACGGTCCATGGTCAGTGAGTTCTCCTCGGACAGGGGCTTGGCCGGAGCAGGTCTCTTCCTTCCTCCCTGATAGGTTAGGCTTGGTGAATACTCGCCTAGGCTGTTCCACTGCTGCTTAGCCAGACTCCATGCCTCCAGCCCATACTCATGCAACTGCCGGTGGTCATTCTGTCACAAACGCAATCATTTTCCTCCTGTACTCATCCCTTCTGTGGTTTTTCATCCCTTGGGAACGAGTCCAGGTCCACCGCTTCAGTATACGCCTGTGTGTGGGAGGGTACTAGAAATTGAATCTGGGGCTTTCACAGTGTGCTGTACCCCAGCCCCTCCCCCGTATACTCTGAAATAGACCCAAATTTAGATAAGAAGATTCAACTATGAAATGGGGAAGTTCTACCAGGCAGATGGACCTGGGGATAAGCAGAGTAAGAGATAAGTATAAAGGTGGGGAATGAGAATCAGTGAAAGATAAAATAAATACCAAATGTTCCAGCATCTGGCATGTGTGTGGCCCTTTAGGGCTTAGAAAGCAGCTTCACATTTATTATTTCAGTTGGTTTCTTATTATTAAGACTATGGAAGAGGCAGATCAGCAGGCCTAACTTCTGGGCTTTTAGGAAATGGAAGGTTCTAGCAAGGACAGGATTCTTCCCAGGCCACGTGGCTAGAGAGGGCGGCAGCAGGTCTGAAGGCCAGGTCTTCTGGATGCAGATCCCATCCTCTCACGCAGTGCATGGGCTGTGTGTCGGGGACTTTGCAGGGCTCATCTGTGGAAGCAAGTTCTGCACTCCTCCCTGTTGGAGTTAGGCTGATGAGATGTACGGATAAGCGGCCAGGCGGGGAAGCCCTGGGTGCCTCCCACAGGAAGTCATCGCGGACTTCTGAAGTGATGAAATCATCAGGGGCCTTATCGAGTGTTTCTCAGAGAAGGCTGCAGTGCACCAAGGGGTGTGAAGCTGTGTAGTAGTTTCCGGGGTCCTAGACCCATTGGGTTTAGCCATGGGAGGAGCCACTGTCCTGAGCTGCCTGCTCCTGGCTCCTCTCACCTGCCTAGCTTGGGTGACTGTCGGCTCTTCTTTTGGCTTCCACTTTGGTTGTATCCACCTCTGGGTTTCCTCATCTCTGGCGCTTCATTACTGATTTGATTCTATGCCTCCCACTCAGCTTCCAGCTCCCCTTTTAATGACATTTGATTCCTTCTTGCACCAAGTTGGTGCAAGAAACTTTTCAACTTTCCTCCTTTGTCATCAGGCTCTGCACACCCTGACTCTCACTGGATGAGGGGCGAGGGCTTTGTCTTGGGGAAGTTTTGAGGTCAGAACACAAAACAACATCCTCCCCGCTTTTGAGGCTCCCTGGACTTGGCCGTGAAGCTTGACCTGAAGCATGGATAGGGATGTTTCTTGCAGCGTGGTTGCAACTATAATAGGGACAGTGTAAGAGGCTATCAGAGGAAAAGGTTGTGAGGCTGGCAGGAAGGAGGACTGTCCGTAAACACTCATAGAAACCTTCAAGATGAAATTTTCAGAGCAACGGCAGAGCGGTTTTTAAATTTTGCTACCATTTATGTTTTAAACAAACAAACAGGAAATAATGCTTGTTTTTATATGCGTGGGGCTCCCCTGCACAGGACTCCACTGCAGAAACAGTTACCTCGGGGGAAGGAAATTGAACAAGGGGGAAAAGGGCTGCAGTGAAACTTCCTCTCTGAGCTTAGCGCCGTGTGTACTGTGTGTCACCTGCCTGAAAATTGAAATTGAAACAAGGTAAATACTGTGGAATCAGCCTAGAGATGTGAAAATACACGGGGGCCTTGGGAGTCACTCTTTAACCACAGAGATTGGAAAATTGAACAACAAAAGATAAATGATTTTTCAAATTTGCAAAACTACTAAGTTACAGAGGTATTAGCAGAAGCCCTGTCTGTCCTTTGGCACCATTGCTTGAAGGGATGCAGCTTGGAAACCCTGCGTGGTATCAAGAAAACTTCTCCCTCCCTCCCCTCTTATCCTGCCTTCCTTCCTTCCTTCCTTCCTTCCTTCTTTCCTTCCTTCCTTCCTTCTTCCCTTCCTTCCGATAAGGTCTCACAATGTTGCCAAGGCTGGTGTGGAACTCCTGGGCTCCAGTGTTCCTCCTGCCTCAGCCTCCTAAGTAGCTGAGACTACAGGTACATACCCCCCCATCTGACTCATATGTGTAGAACTTAACCCAAATGACACTTAAAACCCGGTTTCTTCATCTGTAAAATGGAGACAGTAAAGTTATTATGAGGAATAAATGCCATAATGCATGTTCATTCTGGTGCAGAACACATAGTTAAGCATCCTATCAAAGGCAATTACTGCTATTTATTCTTCTGAGGCTCTCATGGAGTTGGAGCTGGCTGGGGGGGTGTTCTGAGGGAGGCTGTCATAGGCTTACAGGATAGAAGGGAAGAGAGAGAGAGACAGAGAGAGAGAGAGAGAGAGAGAGAGAGGATATCCATGATTTTCACTTACTAAAATACTACTAGAGAATCTGAGAGAGCAAATGATGCTTAGTGTAGAAAACATATGTGAGGGTGTGTGTGTGAGGATGTGTTTCATGGAGAGAATTTCCGGCCCTTTTAACTCCACAGGGCCACCACGGGCCACCTGTGACCAGCATTGTCTCATGCTGGAAAATACCTGTACACAATCCAGGACCATCTGGGAACACTCCTTTCCTATTCTCTTCCATTCCCAACTGTCAGCGTGCCCTCATTATCCCTGCTAGCCAAGTTCCTTGCCTATTTCCTCTTTTCCTGGGGCCATGGGTCAAGTGGGGACTCGGTGCTCTGTTGGGAACTCGGTCCACTTCCCTTAGAGACGTGCAGAAAGATCTCCTTCTGGGCAGCTTTACTTACATATATCTTGGGGAGTCACCTTGGCAAACGCCCCTACAATGCTGAGGTCTCTGGAAAGCATTCCCTCGCTTGCCCCCATCTCCTGGGACATCTGCTGAGGTCCCCGAGCTCCCTCACCACCAGCTTCATGATCTGTAGACACTGAGATGCTCCTGGAGAGGGAAATAGTGTAAGGGTAACAGCTCAGGTTCTGGACCTTCTTGGGTCCAAATCTTTACTTTTCCAGGTGATGTTGGTGATCTTAGGCAAGTTGTGTGTGACCTTCTTGTCCCAGTGTCCATCTGAAACAAAGGGTGGGAAGAAAATGAGGTAATCCAGAGAATCGATGAGAAGCCAAGCCAAGTGTCTTTATGGAATATAGTAAACAAAACAAAACAATCAAACAAATAAAAAACAACGTGGTGAATGCTGCTACCACGTATCACCCAATGGAAAGATAGACTTATACAAAAATGACATGCATATTCATCCACATTATTCTCTGGATCTGGCACAATGAAACTTTTCCCCAAAGTCAAAATGAATTTGAATCGATTCAGGACGCCAAAGTGGCAACTGAACACAGTCAGGAAGGAGAACTTTGAGAAATGCTTCAGAACGTGGCACAAACCATGGCATCAGCGTGCTCAGAGCAAGAAGGTATATTTTGAGGGGGATTAATGACAATGTGTCTTTTAATGTAAGGAACTTTAGGAACCTTTTAAACTTTCACCGTATGTTCTGACCACACCGTGTACAAGTGGAGAATCCCCTTAAGTGACTCTCTGCAGCTTGAATCAGCTCTGATGGGTTTGGGCAGTGTTTATCAAAGTGACAATCGAATGGACTCCTGGTGCAGTGGGAGACAGAAATGTTCCTCTGTGATTAACCAGAATCATTAGGTTGTGTCTGTCTTGTCAGCTTGGCTGCTATAACCAAATACCACAGCCTGTGTGGCTCGAATGGCACACACATTTCTTATAGTTCTGGAAACCAAGAAGTTCAAAAGCAAGGTGCCAGCAGACTCTGTGTCTGGTGAGGACCTTCCTTCCTGTGTCCTCACATGGCAGGGACACCTTCTGGTTTCCTTCTCTTCCGTTAAGGGCATCGACCCCATCTTCATCACTGCATTTAAGCCTGATCCTCTCCCAGAGGCCCCACTTCCTACCCAATGCCATGGGGGTCAGAGCTTAACATATGAACACCAGAGGACATGAACATCGAGTCCCTCACAGCAACCAAACAAATGTTTTTATTCCTTAACCCAAATCAGAGGAGTTCGCCGTCTCACAATCGCAGAGGAGAATAAGATGAGTAAGATGTGCACTCGGCTGTGCACTCTGCAGTCACCGCCCAGCTTGTGCTGAAAGTGTGGTGTAAAGCAGTTGGCTTCCCCTCTCACCGTTTACCTTACAGCTTAGGAAGCACTTCCTCCTATGCTGTTACATTTGGTGCCTTCTGTAGTCTAGGATGTAGGTGACATTCATGCATGTAGTATTGTATGGGTGAACTTTTCAAAACAACATTCTCTAAGAAAGCTCCAGCATTATTGTTAAAAATGCCGTGGGTGGTCTTAGTGGGCCCCATCTGAATGGAAGTCTTCATTACACAGGGACAGGACAAGAACCCCCAACCCACCTCACCATAACTGCAGCCCAGCCAGGGGAAGGAGGGTTTTCCCAGCGGTTATCAAGCTGGTGGTTCTTTCCCATTCTTCGGTGAGCCACACCGTGGATGTTTGGACCATCTGAGGTTCAAACAGAATATGTTCACTTACATCTTGAAAATATGGACAGTTCCACAGGTGCATTTTAAAAAACATTGCTGGAGCTTTCTTATTTTCTAGGGGAGCCTTGCTCTGAAAAGGTCACTGTGCCGATAACATATGCATTATATTTTTATTTAGAATCCAGGAGAATTTGTCAGATAATCTCAGAGGCTGATTCGGTGCCATACAGAATGTGAGACTTGGCACTGAAACCTAAGTAGTCACTCTCGGGTCAAAGAATTCTTCTCCATTTATTAGCAATGAGGGCACAAGGGGTGGTGGTGTAGCTCAGTGATAGAGTGCTTGCCTAGCATGAGTGAATCCCTGGGCTCAATCCCTAGCACCAAAAAACAAAAACAAAACAAATCAGGAACAAAGAGTTCATTCCTTCACATCTATTTTATTTGTTTTGAGGTTGGAGATCAAACCCAAAGTCCTGTGCTTGTTGGGCAGGTGTCTTGGTCACTTTCTTTTGTTGCTGAGATACAATACCCAATGCCCACAACTTAAAGAAAAGAGAGGTTTATTTTGGCTCATGGTTTAAATCCATGGCTGGCTGGCTGCAAGGCGGGAACTGGATGGCAGAGAGGCCCAGTAGAGGAAAAGGTGATCAACCTGTGGCAGCCAGGAAGCAGAGAGAGGGGAGGAACCCGGACAAGAATGCAGCCTTCCAGCTCATGCCCCAGGGATCCTCTTCCAGCCGGGCCCTGCATCCTGATGGCAGGTTCAGCTGCGAACTCACCAACTGGTGAAGGAACCGACGAGGGCAGCAACCCTCCATCCAGCCATCTCCACACACACAAAGCTACTGGGGACACTTCAAATCCAAATCACAAGACCAAGTACACCCTGTACCACTGAGCTACACCTTCGGCCCCGTTCCTTTATATCTAAACGTGTTAGGCAGCATGAACTTCACTTTCAGTAAGTATACATTTAAATTTATTCTGTGGCCAGGGCTGACTGCCTGCGTTGGGTGGAAATTTGTCCCTATCCTCTGACACCACGCTCACTATCCTCCTGGCTGAAGATGCATTTATGTTAAATCAATACACCGTGTCACACTGAACTGCGAGGCCAAGTACAGTGGATCAAATTTATCACCAAAAGCATCTGGGACAGATTTAAAAATCACTGGGACCATAATGTCCTAGCTTTGTCTCCATGGTAATCTCATTTTTGTGTGTGTTCCCACAGGTACTAGTGAAGACTCAGGACTGACAGGAGATGGTTTCCAGGAAGATGACAAAACTAATGAAGGGACTACATCAAGTATATATATTTCAGCAACCCCAGAAGCATTTACTGCAGATACGAATTCTACCAACCTTGGCGAGGATACAAATCAGTTAGAGTTTATATTAATGGTGTTGATCCCATTGATTTTGTTGGCCCTCCTACTTTTATCTGTGGTACTCCTTGCAGCATACTATAAAAGAAAGAGAACTAAAAAAGGTATTGAATGTATGTCCACTTTCAGAAAATTGCTTTATTTATTGATGAACAATCACAAGACAAAAAACTTTTTTTTTTTTTTAACACAGAGCCTTCTAGCCAAGGATCTCAAAGTGCTTTACAGACCTGTGAGTATTACCCTGACATCTGCTTAGAATTGGGGAAGGAGAGCCGGGCGTGGTGGCACATGCCTGTAATCCCAGCACTTGGGAGGCTGAGGCAGAAGGATCGCTGTGAGTTCGAGACCAGCCTGGGCTACATAGTGAGTTCCAGGTCAGTCTCAACTACATAGTGAGACCCTGTCTCAAAAAAAAACAAAAAAACAAAAAAAAAAAAACCCAAAACTAAAAAGAATTGGGGAAGGAATAGGGAAGTGATGTCTTCCTATTAAGCAAAAATAATTATATAAAATACGAAGTGATGAATGATATATTTCACTGAAATTTCCAGAAGTTAATAATGCCACATTCCTCTTTTTTTAAAAAAAGAATGTTTTTGGTTTATATGAAAATTCTGGTTTGGTCTGTATGGAAATTTGAAATATACTACTGCCATCTTTGTAAGTAATCCAGTGATGCATTGTCTTAGTCACTTTTTTTCATTGCCAGGACACAATACCCAACACTGAAACCTAAAGGAGGAGAAAGGTTTATTTTGGCTCATATTTCAGTCCACAGCTGGCTGGCTCCAAGGGAAGGCAGCATGGCAGAAGGGGCTTGGTGGAGGAGAGCTGCTCAAGTCATGGCGAACAGGAAGCAGAGAAGGGAGGAGCCAGGGAGGGAGATGAACCGTTCTAAGCCACACTGCTAGTGACCCATCTCTTAACTACAACTCATCAGTGGAAAAATCCCCAAGATCCACTTTCCAAGAGGGCCACCAGTGAGCGCATGAGGCTTTGGGGCGACATGTAGATATAAACCATAATCTTGGCCAAGAGGTCAGTGCACATCTCCCATTGTTTGAGGAAAAGGTCAGGCTGGGGGTGCAGTGGGTCAGATTGGGGCTATGAAAGGAAGGCTGGAGACCTCAAAGTCGTCTCCACCATCTGCGTTTCTATCGTGGATGCTGTTCTTCCCCACACACCCCACTTCCCAATTTAATTTGGACAATGACTGGGTCAAGCAGTATTCTTATTCCCATTGCAACCATGCCAACTTTTATATGGAAATTCCTGACTGGATGGAGATTATGAACATCAATCTAGAACCGAGATAAAAAATTCCCAAGGTTAGAGGCTCACTCTGACAGTATATTTTGTTTTGCTCCGAAGTGGGCTTTTTCTTTTCTTTTTTTTTGGTAGCTCTTGGTTTTGGTTTGCTTGCTTGCTTGTTGAGACAGGGTATTAGGTATATTGCTCATGCTGGCTGCAAAGTCCTGGGCTCAAACACTCCCCCTGCCTCAGCCTTCCCAGTGGAGCTCCTCCTCCTCTCCTCCCTCCCATTTTCCCATCTCCTTCTTTTTTTTTGCCCTAAGGGAAAGTAAGAATTTCCTGCCCCAGCCATAGCCCCACCCCTGGCCCTCTCAGAGTCAAGGGACAGAGGCAGAGGAGGTTGAGGTGTCCAGACAAATAGTCCTGCCCTTATGTTATACATTCAGAAGTGGGCTTTCCTCTACACTTTATTGTGAAAGTCTCTCTGTTCGGAAGCCATTGACACGCACAAATGGGCCTTGTCCTCAGACGGGGCCCGTGTGTCTGGCCACTCTGGGTGTGTTTGCTGTCCCCAGAGTGTGACTGCACCCTAAGGATGCCTCTGCATCTGGGCAAAGCTGCTGCCTCTGTCTGGAATTTCTTCTTGTCTGCCTGGCAAACCGTCACCCCATTCTTCAGTTTTTTTTATGAGGTCTTGAGTAATTATTCCTTGGGGAAAATCCCTCACCTCTTCTTTCTGTGCTGGTCCAATCTTGGTTCCCAGCACTCAAACTGTCCACTCAAACAGGTGACTTCTTTGGTCTTTATTTCTTATTTTATTTTGTTCCCTATAAAGATCAAAAGAACCAAGAGCTTGTCTCACTCATCTTGTTTAGCATTGTAGACTCTGGAACCATACATACTGTTGGTTGGCTTTTGTGCTCCTTAGCTCTGTGCCTCAGATTCCTCATCTGTAAAATTGGAAAACCCAATACACACCTCATAGGATATAAGAATCATATTTATATGTGTGTGTATATATATATACACACACACACATATATAATGTTAAAACCTTGGTATGCAAACATAATTCATTCCAGAAACATGCTTACAATCCAAAGTACTTATATATCAAAGCACATTTTCCCATAAGAAAAGAAGAAATTCAAATGATTATTCCACAACCGCAAAATATTCATATGAAACGATTACAAAAATATATTACGATATTTTATAATATAATGAATAATAATGAAAAGAAAGAAAAATACCTTTGAAAATCTTTGTGGCTGGTGTGAGAGAGACAAGAGAGAGGAGCGTTATGGTATAGGACAGCTTTCATGATCTCCAGGGGAATCTCTGCTATCTATTTCCTCAGTGGAATCTTTTTCTTTTTGTGAAACGTTAACAAGGAACCTATCCAATGAAGCCTGCTTTTACCTTCTTTTGAGGATTTCAAGGAAATGTGATACTGCATTGTTGTTACACAGATTCATCACTTGTACTGCTGCACCCTTATCTGGGTAGTACTTTTCTACAAAATTTTACAGTTTCCCACATTTTATATGTCTCTGTAATCTCATTTGACGTGAAGGATTCCTGTGCCCTTTTCTCCTCCTCCTCTGCAGATGAGATCTCTTCCATAACTTCTCACTGTTGAGAGATGATCACCCATAATCCCACACCGAAGTGGGGGAGGAACAGAGGGAGGGAGGAAGAGAGAGAGAAACCGTTGGTTCACATGACATTCAGCATCATGTAGTACTTGTATTGCAAGACATCGCACATTTGCCAAGTTGAAATATATTGGAAATGTTTGTTCATCTTGTGGAACACTCGCAGAACAAGTTACTCATAGAAGAAGTTACTATGCATATAGTAAAAAAAATACAGTAAAAATATGCAATTTTATCTGTATATCTAAAATTTGGAAAAAATAGTGTCTACAATATTAAGTGCTACAAGTCATCACTTAATATCTCTTTACCAAATAATACTTAGCCTAACATATGGTAGCTGCTTGATACAAGTTTATCGAATAAATGAGTTAATGAAAGAATGCTAGGATTTATTTATTTTTGGGGGGTACAGGGAATCAAACTTGGGTCCTTGCGCTTACAAGGTAAGCAGCAGAGGATTTTTTTTTTTTAAAGAACATCTTTTAGAGCTGGGGATTTAGCTCAGGGGTTCGGTGCCTGCCTGGCAAGTACAAGGACCCGAGTTTGAGCCTAGGTACCAAAAAAAAAAAGAAGTCTTTTACTATCAGAGATAAAAACAAGCTTGTGCATTACCCTTATTACAAATTGGTACTTGTATTTTAGCTTAAATAGGCCTCAGTTTAAGAAAACAGGGTATAGAAAACTTAGAATTTTGAAGACAATTACTTATCAAAAAAAATTTCTGATAGCTTTTATCCGACTTTTTCTTTTGCTAGGCATTTCTTTTTTTATAGACACAGATATTGCTTCACAAACTGAATGCTGAAAGCTCAGCAACCCCTCCCTATTGATACTCAGCCATTCATATTTAGCATTATAATTCAAGTCAATGAAAGCAGAATAAATCAGTGAAATTTAAATACTTTCTTTTTCCTCAGGAAAAATAAAACTGCCACACTGGGTCAGAGGGACCAGTATGTTGCTTGGGAAGTTGCATAGCAGTGTTTTGTGAGAGGGCATGGGTACCTGTACACTCAATACCCTTAGAGAACGGAACAGACCTACTGTTTCTTTCCCCTTGTGATAGAGTCTGGCCTGTCTTCCACAGCCAGAAAATAAGTCTTTAAATCTGATACCTGGGGAGGACTGACCCATATTTTGAGAAAGGACCCTTCACCTGGTTATTCTTTTATTTTTGAGGGGTGCTGGGGATGTAGGGTGAGCTACAGCCTCTCACCCCCAAATCGCCTTATTTCTCTGGGCTTGTCTGGTTTATGTGTAGGAAAAGGAACTTTATGTATAGTGACTTTATGTTCTGCTATCATTCTTCCTCCACCTGCAGGCACTAGGTTTGCAGTTGTTGCTATTTAACATTTATTAAGTTGGGTGCCGGAGAGCTGCAGTGAAAACAGCTGGCAGGAAACCATGGCTTTAAACAGACGGTGGCTACGTGATTCTTGACTCAGTAAATCTCCTGGGAAAGAGTCTCTTGCTCACTGCTCAGGGTGGAAACAAGAGAAGAAAGCCAGAGCCCCCACTTCGACAACCCCTCCTTGGGCTGCGCGGAGAAGAGCCCAGGGTTCTGTCAGGCCAGGAGGGTGCGTTCGGTGCAGGAGCTGGGGAGGAGGACAGAAACGGGAGGGCTGTGAGAGGCAAAATGGCATCAGGAGGGAAGGGGGTGCTGAGCAAGAGCTGCATTTGCCTCCTGGTTGCAAAAGGAGTCAGTGACTATTAATAAAGAGCTACAGGGCAGGTGGAGCGGAGGCTGGGGCCTGATTGCTGAGGACAAGTAATTGGTCTCCCTCCTAGCTTAATGCTCTGCTCTTGTGAGCTCTCCCAGATGTTTTTCTGTTGCCATGGTGGCTGGGGCAGGGGTAATGGCCGTGGAGCGGGGAGAAGAGGCCACAGAAGGCTTTTTGCTCTCTTTTAATACTGATTACAGGAGCTTCACATTCGGAGCATCTGGAGCACTTTGGTAATGGGTTTTTAAACTTTTCCATCATTTGCATGCAGGCTAGCTTTTGTTCACCTCCATGCCTGCAGGAAACTCAGATTATAAAAATAAATGCATGCCCCAAACAGTGTGCTGGGAAGCCAGGTGCTCTCTGAGAAACTGGTGAGCGGCTATGGCGCTGCGGAAAGGCTGTGGGGGGGAGAGTGTCAAAACAGGAAGGTCTGTGTGGGCACCTGTAGGGAGCTTCGGCTGTTGTAGGAGCTGTGTTGATAGTAAAATCCCTTACGGAAATAGCTTGTAAATTTCGGATTTAAAGTATATAAGTAAAATATATATAAGATGAAGATAGTCTCGCCAATCTAAGTTTTGAGGAGCCAGGCATGTGCAGAAAGCTTCAGATTCTTATTGAGGGTACAGAGGACATAGCCTGCAGCCCCTCTGAGGCCGAAAGTTGATGGCATGAATCTCCCATCTGAGCCCAGCTTTCCTGGACTAGCAGTGCCCTTCCGCCTTGCCAGTGTGCAGGAAATTCCTGCAGGTCCCTGCTGGTCCTAGTCCCCTGCTGGAGACCAAGGAGGCCCATGATTGCCAGGGGTCATGTTTGGTGTACTGCTGCAGAGTGGTTTGCTTTTCAGTGCTTTCTGATCATAAAAGGTGCAGTGGGCCTGTGCTGTCTACTTGTTTGACATCACAGTTACATTCCTCTGGATACATTGGTTCCCCTGCCAAGTAAGACAGCTTAAACCAGGACATTGGGCTCTGACCCTGGCTGTGTGATCATTTGGAATCTTGTCTGCATTAGAACCAGTTTGTAAACTGCTATGTGAGTCAGACCCACCAGCAGGGCCCAGAAGATGGCTTGCCGGACGTTTTACTATTATGATAATGCTAAGTCCAAAAGTGTAGGCAGAACTTAATCCCAGTACTGCTCGAACGAGATTAAGACCTATTCATTCACTCCATGAACATCCACTAGTCATCTGCCAGGCACTACACTAGCAGGACAGGGACTGGGAGATGCCACAGTGAATCAGACACAGATGAGCCTGCCCCTTGGGAGCTGTGGTTCAGTCTAGTGGGAGAGACAGAAAAATCAGAATCTGATAGGTGGACTGACTCATGGGAAACTATGCCCAATGCTAAGAAGGAAGCAAGCAAGGTGCTGAGCAGGGAACCACAGGGAAGATGGGCCTTGTTGTAGTAGAGGTGGGCAGGGTCTCCTTGAGGACAGGATGTGAGGGACCCAGCCATTCCAGAGGACAGAGGGGGAACTCCTAAGGGAGCTCTGGATGGAGGAGTCCACATCCTACTCCAGTTCAGGGGACAGTGGCACAGCATGGTGTTTTGTTGAGGCGGGACAAGGAATAAACCCTCTTGCCTTTTTTTCTTTCCTTTACAACAGTTTTCCTCTTTGCATGGCTGTAAAAAAAAAAGGCAAACATCTGCTCTAAAGAGGGTGTTCTCTAAACTGTCCACATCTAACAGAAAACCAGATTTCATGCTATTAGCGCTTTCATCTGTGCTTGTTTGACTTGGGGGTTAATTGCGGCCCCCTTCAAAACACAGCAAAGTTATTGTGTTTGTTTTGTGAAGAACTCGTCAGCTGTTGTTGAAAAAAGAGGTTGTTGGTGATGGGCAAAGCCAACATGATCTTTGTATTTATTCTCTTCTAGGTGAACTGGGCGGTGACAACCTCAAAGTGTAAGTCGCCTCCACCTATTCCGACCCAGCTGGTGCAGTTTGGGAGAAGGGAGGGCACGGACCTTCGCTAGTTTCTACTCTGATGTCCTAGCTGGGTCCTCCTGCTTCTGCTCCCAGGCCTTGGATGACGGGATGCCCCTGGGTCTCCAAACCTTATCAGGAGGTCTCTGCGGAGGAGGGCACCCGAGTGCTTTATTTCATTGTCAGCTGCTCAGAAAAGAAGTGTTTCTGACCACTTCCGATGCCAAATGCAGGATAGTTAAATAAACGGATCCTGAGTTTGGGTCAAGGATGTCGGTTCATCTATGCTAATTAAACACTCCATCACCAGGGCAGGCTGGTGTTCCTGGAAGGAGAGAGAATCTCACCCAGAAACTGTTGGGGCGATGCCATCCCCATGCCTGCCCCGCCCAGCAGCCTCCCTCATTTAGAAACTGCCCGCTTCCTCTTCCCAGTGTGCCGCCCACACTTCCGGTAGAGCCGGTGGGTGGTCCTTCCTTCCCCACAGAGCCTACACTAAGCCAGGCTTCTAAGCCGGGTACAAACTCTGAGCCCCGGGAAGGGGGGCGGTGGATTTCCGAAAGTAACAGCTCCATTTCTCCTAGGCAGAAAAGCCCGGGAACTGGAGGGAGAGGCGGTAAAAGTAGGTTATTGACAGTGGCCTCTTGTTGTGGGACACTCATCAGCACCCCCAGGAGAGGGAAGTGAAATTGAGCAAGGTTAGAACAGCCGGCAACTCCCCCGAGGGCCTTGCAGACTGCGCTGCACCTCGCTCTGCCCTGGGTTCCCCTTTCAGCTGCTTTCTGGGCCTCTGGCCTTTGCAGTATGGCGATCAGCGATATAGGTGGGTGGGTTTTAGGGTTTAGCCTTTTTTCTCAGTAGAGTCTGATACTTTAACGCAAGGGCAAAGCTGGCTCTCCCGAGCGCCAGATGCTCAGTCTAGACTCCAGATGAAATGCAGCACCAGCTTCTCCAACAAGCTTTGCCTTCTCTCTCTAGCCCTATTTTCGAGGAGGACACTCCTTCTGTTATGGAAATAGAGATGGAAGAGCTGGATAAGTGGATGAGCAGCATGAATAGAAATGGTAGGTGGAAACCTGAAGTGTTTGCTTCCCTCTCTGGTAATAGAAGGTTGGGACAACTCTAAATACCTCAGGGTAGTCTGGAGTGGCCAGTCCCACGTTCCACCTCATGTGCACAAATAATGAATTTAGGTCTGACCCGTCCTTAAATACCCACTTTAAATTATTGCATCCTCTTGCCACTTGTTTGTATTTTTGTACAAGTTGTTAAAATGATCTTTTTCAAGCAGAAAAATATTTTCTCTTTTCTCTTCCAAGCAAGGATATCTGAGGCCAAATTTTCTGGAAAAAGCACCTAACACTATCTTTTTTTTTTTTT